TAATTACAGGCCAACTCAGTCACAAACAAAACAGAACACAAAGTCATGAATGCAAAACAATGAAATTGGCAAGGAACTGGGACTTGCATGAGTGGGAGTAAGATAAGAGAGAATGTGGGAGAAAGTAACTAGAATGTACTATATAATATATATGAAGTTGCCAAGAAAGAAAAGTTATTAATAAAAACCTGCTATTTTTCATGTATGAGGCATTTTGTTTTAACTATGGTCACGCATTGTTTAATAATTACAGTCTATCAATCCATTATGATGAAAGAACCTTTAGGTATTTTCTGGCTGTGTGAACATGAACTCAGGTAGAGCCTAGCCTGGTGGTGTAGGCCTGCCATCCTAGCTACACAGGATGGAGGCAGGAGGATCCTAAAAAGTTCAAGGGGTGTGTGGGATATAGAATGAATTCAAGACACACCTGGGCGAACAAGCAAAACAAAAAGTCAAAAACAAGGACTGGAGGTATAGGTCAGTACAAGAGCACTGCCTGCTTGACAAACCCTGAAGGTGTGGCCCAGCGGACACCCAGGCTACATACCATAGCCTTCTTTGTTCCCAAGCCACCAATCTGCAGAGCTCATTTCTGTAACCGAACACTAGAGACCATAGCAGAACAATTCAAGCAACTCCAGAAGTGGCTAAGCATTTGAGTCTCTAAACATATCCAAATAAATAAAAGGTACAATGGCAGTGTATGAAAGCCACACCGGCACACCAAATGGGGCGCTTCCCTTAGTGGAGGCTGCAGGAGTAGAAGCTACCCTTCTACTCGGAGGCTGGGTGGAGAGGGGATGTGGGAGGTGTCACCATACACTGCTGAAGACTACATGAGCACTACACACATGGGCTTCACAACCTTTTTAAGCTATTTTAAATAATAAACCAATTTAGCTTTCTGTAATGTTTTTACTTTAGAAAGATTCTAAAATATTTTTATCAAATAATACTTGGCAAAAAAAACAAGCGCACTGTACAACTGTACAAAAAATATTTTTCTAGATGAGCAGTCATGAGAGACTGTGATTACAGCACTCAGAGGACTGGGGCAGGAGAGTTGTTGCAAGTTCAAGGTAAACTTGTGTTACTTAGGCATAACATGCCTCTAGCAAACCAAAGTAAACCCACTACAATGTTTTGTCTTTGTGTACTTATTATATAAACTTTTTGCTACTTTTAAACTTAAAATGTATGTTTAAACTTTTTAAAATAAAAAATGAAGATAAAAATATATACATTAGGGGGCCTAGAGAGATGGCTCAGAGGTTAAGAGCACTGACTGCTCTTCCAGTGGTCCTGAGTTCAATTCCCAGCAACCACATGGTGGCTCACAACTATCTATAATGAGATCTGGTGTCCTCTTCTGATATGCAGGCAGAACACTGTATACATAATAAATAAATCTTTAAAAAATATATATATAGATAGATAGATATAGATATAGATATTCACATTAGGCAGGCCTGTGCAAGATCAGATCACCCTATCACTTTGTCTCACTGGAGAGTCTCCAGAGGAAAAAGCTTGTGTGCAATTGTCATCATCCCTGCAAAAACAGTGCCTAGATTCTTCTGAACTCATCCTAAAGGACCTGCCTGACGCTCTTTTAAATATGTTAGGAAGGGGCTTCAGATGGAGTTCATACGTGATGCACAAAGCTAGGGGTCCCATCCCCAGCACCAATATAAAGTGTGATAGTGCAAGCTTGTAATCCCAGCACTCACTGTGGAGATTAAGAAAGGAGGATCAGAAGTTCAAGGCCAGCCTGGATCTACATGAGTCACAGTCTCGTGTGTGTGTGTGTGTAAAACCATTATAAAAAGTGTACCATATACATGGAGAGGTGGTTCAGTGGTTAAGAGCACTGGCTGCTCTTCCAGAGGACCTGAGTTGTAATCCTAGCAGCCAGGCCTGTTACTCAGAAAAAGCCTGTCTTGAAAAAACAAAAACAAAAAAAAAGTGCAACATGGTAAATAATAAACCCACTAACATGGTTGTTTATCGCTGTTTTTAAGTATCACACACATAACTGTGCTCAACTTTGATATGAATGGTATGAAAGATTTATACACACCAGTACCTGCACAGACAAGTGTGGCATTAAGACAGATCAAAATCACTGGGAGATGGGAATATTTGAGCTTTAGTATAATCCATGGGACCACTATCATATTTAATCCACCTCTGGCTAAAGCATCTTTTTGCTGGAGACTGACTCAGCCTGGAGGACAGATCTGAACAGACCTTGTTCACTCTCCTGCCTCTGCTAACACCGCGTTCTTCGTTCTCCAGGACAAGAATAAGAGGAGGAGGAAGAGAGAGGCGAGCGGGGAGTACCAAAGGGGGAGAAGTGGAAAAAGTGGACATACAGGGAGAGGAGAGAAGGGGCGGGGCGGGGCGGGAGGGAGAGAAGGGGCGGGGCGGGGATACAGCGGCGGCTCTGAGATGGTGGTGCGTTGCGTGCTGCCTCTCAGCTTCGCTAAGGACTCTTCACCGAGGCCCCGGCCCTGACTCTCTGAATCCCACAATATGACACACACAGAGGAAACACAGAGAGCCACGTCTGCAGAAGCTGATGCTTTTGCACAGAGATGTGAAAGGACAATGCCTGGGTCACACAGACGGGCAGGACAGGGAGAATCAGTCAGCTCTCTTACCGCTGTGACTAACACCAGCAAGGACAGCTGAAGGCTCCTGGTTTCAAAGGGTTCCAGCCCTGACTGATGGCGCTTCACGTTTGGGCAGAGTGTTAGGATGGCAGAGGTCCTTGTCCATGTAAAGGTGGACGTGAAGCGGAACAGGAAGGAGCCAGTACAAGACAGGCCCTAGAAAGACCCCTACTGCTGTGACACTTCCTCCAACCCGACCTCACCTTACAGTTTACAGAACCGCCTAAAATAACAACATGAATTGGGGACCAAGCACTCAATACAAGAGCCTCAAGGGGATATTTCATATTCAGAGCTGGCACTTTGCTTACTCCTACCCCTGCATAACCGGAGAACTGTCTGGTTGTACTCTCCCATGACCCAGACCGTGTGTGTCTTGTACAGAAGATTGTAGGGTAAATTCAGGAGACCCAAACTGTATAATTTGTATGGGTCCTGGTGACGGTCCATGTAGTTCTGCCTACACAGGTACAACTACCAAGTACTAAAGACCTGCGGGCATCTAAGGAGCTATGTGGACAGCTTACATTGCCCTTTCTTCCTGTCAGCCTCTGAGGACTTGCACAGGAGAGTGACAATGCAATATTTTTCTAACAGTCACTTCTTCAGCCAGCGTCTTATCTAGAAGGATGAACCCCATGAGTAAGACACTGTAGGTCGACTCTGCTGTGGATGCATCCTGAGGCTCTGAGGCTGCCATTACCAGAGCTTTCTAGAAGGTGTAAGTCTTTACTAATCCTAGCTTCTTTAACTTGGGTTCCTCCCCATATGAATTTCCCTGTCTCTCCCACAGCACTTTCTCTGTATTTCTCCAACTCCTCCTGGACTGTCTGCCTCTCCATGAGATGGGGACGTGCCACACTTTTGGGCTGGGGAATGACGCCTTGGGGCTTGTCTCCACTCTGAGGATGCCCAACATATTTCTGGCATTTCCTTCTGCCTTCTTTGTTTGACCAGCCCTGGGTGTTCTTTGCACTGCCTCGTTTTATGAGGAGAAAAGTACATCTCAGTTGTTTCATGGGGCAGATCACCTGCTGCCAGGAACAGCTGCTGCTTTTAAAGAAAGATCCTTGAGTCTCCTTCTCACTAGATTGACATTTTTGTTTTGGAAGATCGTTATTACCTGCCAATGTTTGATGTTTACTGTGCATTCTTTTCATGTTCCTTGCAGGGCCATTAATAAAGACTAAGTTTATCCTCGAGATTACTTTTGCTAAATTCTTCCTTTGTTTTGAAACAAACATTAGCAGTCCTTGTAACAAGCCCAACTTTTATTATAAACCCCACCTGTATGTATATGTTCCCTCCCTTCCCTCTTTAAAGTTTTGTGGCCTATTTTCTCTCTCTCTCTCTCTCTCTCTCTCTCTCTCTCTCTCTCTCTCTCTCTCTCTCTCTCTCTCTCTCTGCCTTCATTGAGAACTATGACTTAGACATTCAGGTGAATAATTTGCTAATTTGACTTTAGGCTTCTTCTTTAAAGTGTAAGAAGAAGCATGCCATTTGCACTAAATGATACAAGTCTATCTGGTTCTACAAATCAGGGAAGTCTAGTTTAAAGGCGAACTCCCAAAAACACATCCACTAATCAGATAGTCATTGTCTAAGTGACACAGATTCATTGAGAGTCAGCCAAAATGTGCTCTGGTGAATCAGGGTTTGTCCTGAACCTATCCAACAACCAGGGAAGAACACAGTGATCCAGGTGTCACTCCAGGTCAAGTTTAAGCATCCCTGTCTGGCATCAAGGTACTGTCACAGCATCCTTTCTCCATGTCTGTCTCTGCTGTTATCCCACTCTCAGACCTGAGCATCCATGAATATTATATGCTAACTTGGGTTGTTTGGAAATTTTACTCTGTCTTCTTAAATAAATGAGAACTACTTAGGATGAGTGTCATGTCTCCCATTTTCTTGAGTCTCCATCACCAATAACCATTTCAAAAATGTAACAAAATTTTATGTGATTTATAGCACCCAGTGTATTTTCCCACACACTCTTTCCTGCTACCAAGTGGCATCTGGCTTATCATGTCTGAATTAGATAATGACTTACTCATTGACACGTCTGAACAAAGAATGCCTTATTCTACTCCTAGTATTAGGAAACACATATTGGGAGACATTTCAAATTTCTTTTTGCTTCATGCAGAGAACTCTTGAGTCTAATGCCGTGTTCTTGGTTTGGGGGTAGTTTTTTTTTTGTTTGTTTGTTTTTTGCTTGTTTGTTTTGTTTTCTGTCCTTCAGCCACTTTTATTTTTAAGAGTTTAAGAGGTTTGGGAAAGATACAAACATACACCAGAAATCACAAAAACAGACATTACTCAAGCCTGAGAAAGCTGCTTATTTTCTTTTGATTGGGTAATGAAAAGAGTAGGAAGGCCTCATTTAACGAGGGTGAAGTCATTTTGGCACATACACCTACACATAAATATATATAAACTTTAAAATAAGCTAAGCACTATATATTGAAGCTCAACTGGGAAAACATATCACAGGACAGAGATCAAATCTCATGACCTGTTGGGCATATGTTAAAGAAAACCAGAGAACAAAGCAAGGTTTGCCATTTGTCCTTCTGGTTTCACAGACACATTGTTCAGTACCGCCTACAGGAAGTGAGTCATCCCTTGCAGAACTTGTCACGACTCAGCTTTAACCAGCCTCACTTTGGTCTGGCAGGAAGTAGCACTGTCCTTCCACAAAAAGTGGACCACCTATGGCATCAAAGAGCAGAGGGAGGGTGGTGGCTTGCACAAGTGAGTAAGGGCAAGCCATCAGTGAGAAGACAGGAAGGGAAACAGCCAGATGAAAGGAAAATGAAATCCATCGAATAGTCCATAGTGATCTTGTCCCTGGGGTGCAGGTGGTCACTGAAATCCAAGTCTTACGGGGTCACCTGGGATGACTTCTTCAGTTAGTCCTCACTGCCAAGATCATCGCTGTTGTCCCCCAAGGGAAACTCCCTTGTGGGCTTCTGGGCGGCATATATCTGAGTCTCCATGGGGCATTCCTGGCCCAGAATAGCCTGAGGCAAGAGACAAGTATAGATATTATTGCATAGCTGTGACCATCCTGTTTCTTGTCCACACTGGCACATCCAAGCTTAGTGTAGATGTAAGTATAGCATCCTCCTTCTGCCTCATGAATAGGCTCACTCCTTCCAAGGTGCCTAGGCACATCAAGTCCAGTCAGGACAAACATCTGATACGCTTGTTCTTGAAACCTAGCCTCAATATGTACAAGACACAGAAAGAAGCTGGCTGAAATGGACTCTCCTCTCATAGACTTTTCTGCCTACTCCTGTTCCTTTGAGAAGCTTCTGCGTACTTCCTGAATCCGTGAGGCCCCTAGTGCTGCTGGGGTGGTCACGCTACAAGAGGAGCAAAGTATCATATTGACTATATCATAGAGCATACAGGATCTTTTTGCCTAGAGACTATTTTTTTAACTTTAAAAGACATGGCCTGAGTTGAGAGATGACTCAGTAGGTATGAGCACTTAACTCTGCAAGCGTAAGGACTGAGCTGGAATCCCCAACACCCATATAAAAGACTGTGCACAGTCATATGCCTATAAAGCTAGTGCTGGTGAGTAGAAACAAGCAAGTCTTGGGAGCTCACTGGACAGCCAGCCCAGACAAAAGGGCAAGTCTCTCATACACTGTCTCAAGGCTGTAGGCTAAGAATAATAAAAGAAGACAATATCCTCCTCTTTTACAGTCTTGCTTGCACCATATGCAGACAAAAATAAATAAAATAAGGTAATTAAAAAAAGACATCACCAGATAAGGATAAGGCAAGATATAACTTAGTAAATTGAGTCTTGCTATAGTAACCACAGGATGCCTTTTACAGACAATATTCCTATCTCTTAGTCACTTTTCCTTTTTTAGTTTAGTTTAGTTTTATTTTGATGCTTTTTTACTAGATCTTATGAAGGCCAGGCTAGCCTTTAATTCCATACATAGCTGGGGACAACCCTGAACTTCTTACTTCCACTATCTCCCAAATGCTGGGAGACCAGATGTGTGTGACCATGCCTGCTCCCCATTTTCCTTCTTCACTTAAGATCCAGATAATAGAGGGCCCAGTGGCTTAAAGAAAGAGGGGAAAGAGGGAATTATAAAAGGAAGGATATGTATGTTAGGAAGAACAGAGAAATGACCAGCAGAGAGGAAATGAGCTCACAGTGAAGGGCCAGGGGAGCCACAGGAAGAAACAGACAAGTATTTTATCCAGCACTCAGGGTGCCTTACAAGCTTCTCCTCCTTGGCTGGGGGGTTCTGCAGGAAGCAGCAGAGAGGAGCATAGATGATATTGATGACACCAATGATGACCATGAGCCATGGGAAGCCAATGACTTGTACAACAGCACCCCCGGTAGACGGGCCTGTGAAAAAAATAAATCAAATACCAAATGTTTGTTGAATTAGGGAAATACTATGCTAGGAAAAAGTGGGTAATCAGAGAGGCTGTAACAGATTCCACTAAAAGAGAAAAAGGCCTTTGGTTCCACATCCAGGTTAGCTACAATGGAGAGGGGAGACTGGGTCACTTGGGCCTGGAAGCTCCCATCTGCCCCCAACAAACATACCAACAGCAAAACCCATGCAAAAAGCCACATCAGCGATGGCGTAGACACTCCCATACACAGATGTGTGGCGCAAGTCCACCAGGTATCCCATGATGGGCATCAAAGAGGAATCCACCATGCCTGTGGCCAGAACAAGCAGGATGCTGTCAGTCAACTTATCCATAGCTACGGCATCTCCCTCTACTCTGCCTCCCTGGCCTGCTGTCCCCACACTCAGCACCAACACCGGTCCAGGAAGGAACCACAAGCCCACCTGGGTACATCTGCCATCTCCCATTCCTGCCTTCCCACCAGCTTTTTCTGATGGGAAAATGGGGAGGAAAGGAACCTGACCCAAAGGAAATTCTCAAAGACTTCTTTTTTACTTCAAGGGCACTACTCACCTATGGCAAAGCCAAGGCCTGCATTGGGACCAATGAGACCAAAAATGTTGTGAGCCAGAGGCACCTGGAAGGGACCAGAAGAAGAGTTCCTCAGAGTGCCACTGGGATGGGGGCACAGGGGGCAGAGTTTTCATGTGACATGTATTGGAGACATGTGCTGCATGTGTTACCTCTGATTTCTCACACCTTCTTTTGAAGAGTAATCTTCCTCTCCACTTTGATCACATAAAAACTGGACCGGAACCACCCAAAGTTATGAAGCCAATAAACAGCAAGATCAAGTTTGAACCTCAGACTGAACTCAATTATATCACAGCAAGGGACCTTTTCTTTTCATGAGCATTGGCCCCTCTCTACCAAACACACACTGCTGTCCTCATTCATCTCTGAGTGCGGTCATCTTTCTTTTCATTATTGACATCATCGAATTTGCTTGCCATTTATTTTACAGCACTTGGAATTTAACCTAGCGCCTTGTGAAGGCTAGGCAAACACACCCCACCCCTTTTTTTATTTCTTTTGAGATGGGATCTCACTAAGCTGCCCAGGACAGACTTGAACTTACTCTGTAGCCCAGGCAAGCCTTTAACTCCTATCTTAGCCTCTGGGGGTAGTTGGCGTTAAAGGCCTGCACCACCAAATTAAGTCCCAACATTTATTTGAAACCCTAACTTGGTAGCCATTGCAGCAAAAAAGACAAAAAAATGAGCCCAACAGTTAACAGCTCAACAACTGGAGAGACTGGTGGAATCGTCTGAGTGCCACAAGAGCAAGCTATGGCATGCATAGCCTTACTGAAAGCCTGTCTTTCCCTTTTAAGCAGTGTCCCTACCCTTTCCTTGGTACTTGTTACCCAACCTACTATTCCAGCACAGGGCCCTCAAAGGTTTAGCTTGCCATTTAGCACTGACAAGTCATTATACCTATGGAGCAATACCTCAAGAGGTGCTCATACTTCTCAGTGGCAGGGCTGACTTGCTGAGGGCTTTTCATGTGCCCTCTCCATGCTGCAGTCTATGTGGATTACCTCACACATCCTGTGACATGCAAGCAGAATCCTCCAGTGAGAACCCTGAGCAGAGGAAGTGACATGGGTTGCTCAGAGACACAAAAATGGCAAGTGGCCAGGCTGGGGTGGAGGCCTGAGCCCATGCCCATCACCAGGGGCTCCAGCTCGTCCTGGGTGCAGTGCTCAAAGCTCAGCAGCTCAGCCGGGTGTTGGTGGCACATGCCTTTAATCCCAGCACTCAGGAGGCAGAGGCAGGCGGATCTCTGTGAGTTCGAGGTTAGCCTGGTCTACAAGAGCTAGTTCCAAAACAATACAGAGAAACCCTGTCTCGGGGAAAAAAAAAGCTCAGCAGCTCTGTTGTCGCATCCCTTGAGCATAGAGCCAAATGGACTGATGGACGGATGCTCTCCGCTGAGAACAGGAGACTGTAATGGCCTGGGAGGGCAAAGGACTCTCAAAGACGGAAATCCCTGCTTTCCTCCTTCTACCGAATTTTCTGGTTCTAGAGACTGAGCCATTGATGGTACCCGCCCTGGTGGCTGGTGGGAGTTGTCACAGTAGATTGAATAAATGGATTCATAGCACACCATTGGCTGGCTGGCTCCAGAAACAGACACCAATGTGTTTCACTTCATGTGTATGTGCACAGCCTCACGCCTCTGGTCCCCCCACACACAGCCCGATTCCTCTCCTTTCCCACCTCCTTTTGATGGCATGCCAATTCAGCTGGTGGCATCTCCTCCAGCACCAATTTCTTTTCATGTAGAAGTAGTTTTCTAGGATTTCCTACCAAGTCAGCCTACTGCCCATTTGAAGGAAAATCATCTCTAAATGTCTAGTGTGCCTCCTTTTCCAACTGGGTCTTGTACTTACACAGAGCAAGCTGATGCCTACTGCCACCATTCCAACAAGGGAGCACAGCCACCTGGAAGAAAAGGGTCATCACCACACACTGTCTGCAGAGAGATGGCTGCCACTTGCCACCTCGGCCAGTCCTACACACCCTAATTCAAGCAGTCCCTTGGATTAGGGGAAGGAACTGCACAGAGACAGACTACAGGACCAGGTTGAAGCCTTTCTATGCCTGTCCTTTTCTTGACCTGCTCTTCTCCCTGACCTTGCGTCTCTTCTCATAGCAATGGTACAGTGGGACATAGCCTTGTTTCCCTTAGAACCAACTGGTCTGCTGGCTCCAAAGGCATCGCCCCTAGGGAGATGTTCATGCACTTGATTACTAGTGTTTGCCAGTTCAGGCTGCTTCCTTTCTATAGTGTTCATTTATTATTATTTGTGTGTGTGAGAGAGAGGGGGAGTGTGTGTGGGGTGCGGGTTGAAGTGAGAGGAGGCCCACCACAGCATGAGTGTGGAGGTCAGAGGTCAACTTTGTGGAGTTAGTTCTCTCCTTCTACCTTGATGTGGGTTCTGGGGATTGAACTCAGGTCACTAAGTTTTTGAGGTCAGTGTCTTTACCCACTGACCCATCTCTACAGCCCAGCTCAGACTCAACCCACTCTGTAATATATATGGTTTTACAAATACATCTCAAAAAACCATATGGAAATATGCATACTTCCTCATACCTATAACTTTGCTTTCAAAAGCATGTTATAAATCTTTGTACTGAGCTACAATGATAAAAATTAAAATCAAAGTGATTTTATCATTATAGCAGGAGAAGAAAGAATCTAGATTCATACTTCTTGCCACCCTCCCCCTCATTCCCCACCCTTCCCGCTCCCATTCCCCCACCCTCCCCACCCCTGTGGGCTTCTGATATCCCTGTCTAGAATTCTCTATGGTTCCATGGAACAGAGCTTGGCAACTGCTACCCCAAAATACACACTGTTTTTTTTTTCATTTTGCAGCTGTTGGCTATTGGGGTGGCATCACCTCTCCAGCTGGAAAGGAAGGGCTATCTCTGTGTAATCACTGCCTCTGGAAAGCAGTCAGCTCAGGATAACCCATTCTCTATTCTGCCCTCATCACCTGCCCATCAACCTCCCTCACGGCAATTTTTATCATTGGAGCCTAGAGCGTCTCAAAGAAGCTGTCCCAAGTACAGGAACAAGCTCAAAGGACACCATTAAGTGACAGTTTAATCATTCTTCCAGTTTCTCAGGCTACATACCGACCCATCTTGTTGGCCAACACACCAAAAAGGTTCGTGCCAATGAGGTAGGCCACACTGGCAGGCAGGAAGGCCAGACCTGTGGAAGAACACGGAAGCTCACCTTAGGACATGCTCAACTTATCTGAAGCACCGCATTTCCTACAGTGCAGCAATGTACCCCTGATACCTCCAACTCCCCAAACCACTTTGATGTGCTCTTTGAAGATCTTTGTGCAAGTCAGGAGCAATGGTCTCAGGACCCTGCAGCCCTGCTTTCCTCAGAAACAAGGCTGCTTTTAGCCTCAACATATTTCGTAGCCTCAACATATTCCCAGGCTTTCTGACAAGTGACTCGGGAAGCCACTGGCATCTAAGATTCACTTGCTTATCAGCACAAGAGTAGGAGCTTCCCGGGAAGTCAAATGCCTCACTTGCGTGTGACCTGTCCCCTTGCTGCTTTGCCTGTGGTCTTTGCCTTTCCAGGCCTTGGCTCCAACATCTGAGTACATACAGCAAAGCTGTTACTATACCATGCCAGGTGACAGTGGGAACAAGCTGGAAAACGTTTCATTAACTACCGCCCTGGCCACCTGCCTTTAGGACAACAGAGTGAGATGATCTGGAGCACGGATCTCAGAGCATGCAGTTTGGGGTTCAGTATGTGGCTCGTCCACTTGACAACCATGTGACCTGGAAATTTTACTTTTTATTTGCGAGTTCTTCCTCGCGCCCCTCCGTCTCTTTCCTTCTTTCTTGTGTTTTTCCGATGAGCTTGTACCATTTGCCAGGTATTCTTAAGGCCAGTGATTGAGCAGCAAACAAGATCAACCCAGAAGGGCTGGAGAGAACTCAGTGGTTAAGAGCACCCACAGTTCTTACAGAGGACCCAGGTTTGATCCCCAGAACCCACGTGGTGGCTCACACCTGTCTGTAACTCCAGGTTCTTGGGTACTAGGCGCACCTGTGGTGCATAAAACATACATATAGGCAAAACACCCGTACACATAAAATATTTTTAAAGATAAACATCGAAACAAATTCAGCACAGGTCTATAATCCCAGTGTGGGGGAGGCCACAGGAAACACAATGAAAATGTATTGTCTTTTCAATGAAAGCATTAAACCAAAGAAGGGAAGTGCTATTTTAATAGAAAATTTAAAAGAGAAATAGAAAACATACAAATATTGGCATTTTCTCCAAAATAAAAATATATGCTCAATATATGTGCTTATCTACTATGACAGCGTCCATTAACCAATCAGGTAAGAATGCAAAGCTGAATTCTAACCACTGACAGTAAGGCACAGAAGCCCTGTGCAGGTGCTTGCTTGATTAAGCAGTTAGCAGATAAGAGCCTGTCTACCTTTTTGCCTTGCAGAAGTACTTGGGATTATGTGATCATTTTCTTGAGACCCCACAGTGGCTTTTTTACTAGGCTGAGTGGAAATTCAAGGTCGACACAGCAAGACGCTATCTTAAAACAAACAAATACAAGCAAATAAACTCAAAAGATGACCATAACTCAAAGGGAGCTCACATTTAAGGAGAGATTGATAATTAATTCTAAAATAATTTATTGTGCTAAGTAATAAAGCTAAAATAAATGCTAGAAAATTATGTGGAGAAAGTAATTTTGAAAAATGTGAAAGAAATTTCACAGTTATATATCAGGGTGACTGGAGGAGAGACAACCGTGCATTTGGGGAGCCAAGGAAAGGCTGAGGGGTGGTGCTGAAGCTGAGACCTTGTTTAGCAAGAAAGAGAAGACAGAAACAAGTGCAGCATCTAACACAAGCTAACACTAACCACATAGTGTGCTGTAGGCGCAGGAAAGTTGCCTGGACTCTGGGACCTGTGAGCAGACAGCACGTGAGAAGCTTCGGGCACAGTAACACAGCCCAGCCGGCGTTTCCTAAAATGTCTTAGAAGAGTGGCTTTACAGGACAAGAGGGAAGGCAGAGACTTTCGCAAGCCCTGGAGAAAAAAAAGGCAGAGTCTCCTCTTGGAAGCCAAAACAGAGAGGACTGAGCAAAATCGCAAGTATTTTTTAAGGTGTAGTTGTAGAGCTTTCTCTCCTGTGGGGACACATGAGAGTGAGAAGAGAGAAATAATGAGAACTAAAGCTTTTTGTTTCAGTCAGCTGGGTGATGAGGAGGGGGAAGATCAGTGGGGGAGGAAAAGTCGGGGCTGTGAAGGGCTTGAAACAACCGTAGGGAGGGGCCAGACAGCAGATACACAAGGGCAGAGCTCCGGGAGAGGCCACGAACACACAAGATCAAGACCAGCTGGCCGATGTGGTTTTTAAGATCATGGAAGTGGGGATTGAAGAGTTGGCTCAGTGACTAGGGGCTCTTACGGGTCTGTCCCTAATGACCAGGTTGAGTGGCTCACGCCGCCTGTGCTCCAGAGTGACCCCTCTGGCCTCTGTGAGTACCTGCACTCACATGCACATGTCCACTGCCACACACACACACACACACACACACACACACACATACACACACACACACATTTAATATTATAAATAGAGACTTTTTAAGAGCACAAACTCTTTTTGTTTTAATATTGGAAATGGGTAGGGTCTCTTGCAAAAGCTAAAAAAAAAAAACAGAAAAAAAGAATAGATATTCTAATCAGCACACCACAGTATAGGATTCCTTTTTTTTTAATTCATAACCCGGCCTGTCCTGAAACTCATATGGACAAAGCTGGATCTGAACTCACAGAGATCCCCCTGCCTCTGCCTCTGCCTCCTGGATGCCAAGATCAAAGGTGCATGCCACCACACCCAGGTTAAAAAACCTTTTAGTTATGTGTATCAGTGTGCACCTGCTGTCCATATGTGTACCGTAACTATATGTGCACCTTGTCCATGAAGTGCCATCAGAGGGCAGCAGGTCCCCCAGAAATGGGGTTACAGATGAGTATGAGACATGCCGTGTGTGCTGGTGATGGAATCCTGGTCCTCTGGAAGAGCAGGAGATGCTCTTGACCACTGAGCCATCTCTCTAGCCCAAGGGTGGAAGTCCTATCGTTGACAGGTAGCAAAGCAAGAGAGTAGAGTATGCCTCTAAGAAGGCAATGGGGAGTCACTGCCCTCATCACAAAGTCTTCTTTTTGTAGCAGTTGGAGGCTATTACAGAGAACCACAACTACTCAACATGCAAAGAGCAAGTGACTTTCACGTACACGTCCCCAAATGGAAAGAGTGACATGACCCTATACCAAAGCTCAGAGAACATTACATAAGATCATAAGAACCTGAGGACAAGGCGACTGTTGCCAAATAGCATTTTCTGGACGCGACAGGAAACTGCAACCATGAAATCTCAACAGTATGACTGTCTGCAGAAGACCACACCCAGTCAGTATTCCAGTGTACATGGGGGAAGGGCTCACAAAGCTTCCCCTCCCCCCATTTGAAGATCTCCAGGCATCAGGAGGAAGGAGATCAGCTTTCTTCAGGAGTGAGCCCCTTAGAAAACTATCCAAGTAGTCAGTCCTATACCCATGAGCATATGGAAAACACTATTGGACTCAGTAGGATACACAAAAACACACACATATGCTTGAACATACACATGCAAATGCACACATGCATGAGCTCATACACTAAGACAATAATAATTAAAGATAAGGCCTCATAGGGAAACATGGCAAGAGTTGGAGAGGCTAAAAATACGTTGTAGTTAGGAAATTATTAAAAATGTTTATAGAAAACACAAGAAGTAAGAACACACTGCATATCTTTTAGACTGGCTTGGCACAGAAGTGCCCAGCGAGAACTCGCCTTTATTATCGTGACCTGTGATGGTCAGGGCGAACCTAGGCATCTCACTTCAAGGCCAGGTGTTTCCTCTACCCAAGCGCACCTGAGTGACTCGTTGCCAGAGTGTGGTTGGAAGCAGCAGTGTGAGTCTCTTCTGGCCTCGCAGCCCCTCCCTGTACCACTTTGGATCTCAAGGAAACAATGTAACCCAATTGAAAGTACCCTGTCTCTGATCCCAAAGCCCAATGTAAACAGTTGGTCAGGGCAGGCAGCCGCTTGTTTGCTTTTAATATTGTCTTCTAGGCAGCAGAAGTAAAGCATGCCGTCCTGTGTTTGCCTACTTTATCTGCGCAGGGTGGCAATCTGCTTCAAAGTGTACCTGTTCATTTGTATTTAAATGAAAGTTTAGCGGTAGTGACTACTGAATGGTTTAGCTGATACATAGAAAGAGGAAGCTCACTCGCCTAGCTCCCCGTCTCCTTGACATCCTTGTAAATTGTGTGAAATTTCCTAAAGCAGGCTTTCCTCAAACATTCACTTGTTCCATAGCACCTGACCCCAGCTGCTATTTCAGCAGTACTTTGTGTTCTAGGCTAATTAACACTCATATGCTGTCCACAGTCTGTCTTCAAGAGAGGATGGCGCATAGCCATGACTGTCAAGATGAATTATTAGCTCAGTAAATCCTATAATCCATGCACTTTGTACTTGAAATAAGTACAAAGACCGAGACCCTGAAAGATTTTTAAAATTTTACAAATAAAATGAAGACAGGTGCGATGGTGCACGCCTGTAACCCTAGGCCTGAGGGAGTTGAGATAAGAGGATTGGGAAGTCAAGATCTGTCCAAATTGTATAGTGAGATCTTGTCTAAATAAACAAATATAAGAAAAAACAGCAAGGCTCTCCACCATGATAACTGGTAAATGTCTGGGTGTAAGTTCAAACCATAGAGCACCTGTTTCCAAAGCCAGTGTTATCTTCTGTTCTTGGTAGCAGTACCTAGGACCCATTGGCCATGTGGTACCAGGTCCAATTCAGACCACACGTGACTCTCAACAGCTTTTATTGTTGTTGTTGTTGTTGTCTGGTTATGTTGGGGAAGTCCTGTGTATATGTCAACAAAGCACTGTTGGCCAATAGGAAAGCAAGATAGGTGGGACTAGAAGTCCAGGAGGACTCTGGGTAGGAGAAGCACAGGGAGTCAAGATGTAACCGCCATGGGGTAGGAAGCCTGGAAACTTCTCCGGTAAGAGAAATACTTAGATTAACAATTATAGGATAAATACTTAAGTCAGAGCTAGCCAGTAAGAAACAAGCAAGGCCAACAACTTCATAATTAATACAGTGTCTTGTGTGTTATTTGGGGACTACAATGCGGCAGAGCCCAGGCGACTGGGGGGGGGGGGGACACGACCAAAGCTGCTGGCAAGGAAAAAGCCTCTCTCTACATGGTTGTTTGTGTGTGTGTGTGTGTGTGTGTGTTTGTCTTTGCTCCTTCCTGCAAACTGGAGAAGGGTTCTTCATAAGCTCTGTTTTTCTAAGGGTGATTAACAGGTGTAGTGTACACTACCTTTGTCCCCTGGAAACTCATTAGAAATGTCACTTGTTCCATGAGGTGTGTAGACACATGCATTAAAACCTAAGGTCCTTGGGAGTTGAAACAGGAGGATAAGAGTTCAAGGCTGGGCTATCTATATCCAGTCCAAGACATGACCATGCTATGTGAAACCCAGTCTCAAAACAAAACCAAAATCATGATTAAAAAAAGATAGGAGTGTAGCCCAGGCTGGCCCTGAACTTGTGATCTTCCTACCTCAGCCACCACAAATCACGGTGTCTCTGACTCTTTCGTCTGCTCTTGGGGTCCTTTCCTCCTACTGGGTTGCCTTACCCCATCATGATATGAGAGTCTGTCTTTTTGTATCTTGCTACACAATGTTCAGTGAGCATCCCTGGGAGGTCTGTTCTTTTCTGAAGGGAAATGGAGGAATGGATCTGGGGGAGAGACAAGATGGGGGGGGGGTATTGGAAGGAGTAGGGGAAACTATGATCAGGGTGTATTGAAAACAAAACTAAATTTTTTTTAAAAGGAGGGGTGAGAAGTTGACCTATTTGTGTTAACTTACTTCGAAGTCCCAGCATCATCTAGAATGTGTAGAGTTTACATGTACAGAAAGCACTGAGGAAAGTAGTATAAGACGCTGGCACATGGCAGCCAAGTGACTGGTAACTTGTGAGGCTGCTAACTGGATTGCTGGGGGGAGGGCTCGCCAGGTTGTAGTGTACTAACTAGTACCGGGAGCCAGAGTGTCCAGAACCTCCTCGGAAGAGATGTTATCTGCACTGAGCATTGCCTAACTCAATTAATTGTCTTGATCAGAAGCAGGTACAGCCCAAGAAATTCAATTTGAAGTTAAGTGTACAACTGGAACCTCACTTTGAATTGGTCCCTTAAAATTAGATTCTGTATTTTTTTTAATAGTCCGTTGAGCTATATCCGGTTCTTATCAGCTTTCCCGAGGCACCAGGAGCCTCCCCTGCCTGTAGTGACTGAGTTGTTTGCACGTAGCCTCTTCTGCCCCCTTGTCCTCAGGGTTCCTGGAAGAGGTACAGGCATTCTCTCCACTCAAATCACAAGGCCTCCATGGAGCAGAAGAGGCTGGGGACCTCTATTCTGGGCTTCGATGGATGCTGAACACCCTTTATAGAGCATATAGGACAACAAAAGGAGGTGTAGGGACAGTGTGGTTGGTTGTGATCCTACACAGTGTACAGGTACAGAGCACACCTCGGGCCATTCATTCCTACAATAGCCCTTTGAAACAGATAGCACTACCATGCTCATTTTAGACATCAGTCAAGTGGTACTCATTGTGAAACCAAATTATTTCAAAACAACGTGGTACCAAGTCCTTGACAAAACATTCATAGGCACTAAGCCTTAGGGTTTATATCTCAGGTCTTACTAAATAAGATAACCTGGCTGGGGCTGTAGCATAGTGGTAGAATGTTTGCCCAGTTTGCATGAGGACCCTGGGATTTGTCCCCAGAACTAGTCAAAACTAAAGAGCAGACAGTATGGCACGGCTGCCTGTAAATGGAGCTGACATTTTCAGGCCCATCTGCCTCACTGGCTGGAACAACAAAGCAAACTTTTACCACACAATGTGACATAAAAGAAAGATTCCTTGAAGGTGGTGCCTAGAAAGTGTGATGGTTAATTTTACCCATTATTGGATCAGAGTCGCTGGGAGGCACACCTCTGGGTTTAAATGAAGAAGAAAGACCCACACTGAATATGTGCAGCACCATTGGGCCTGAGGCCTTAGACAAAATCAAAGGGATTTAAAAAGAACACAAGGTAAGTTCAGGCATCTCCCCCCAAACACACATATACTCTGTTTCATGGTCCCTCCAGAACTGAGGCAGTCCAGTAGTATTTAACTCTGCAGGCCTCACCGCCTAGATAGACTGTATCTTCCCAAACCATGAGCTAAAGGAAATCCTTCTTTTGTTGTGATGCTTTTGTTGGGTACTTTGTCACAACAACAAGAAAACTAATACAGATAGATTAGGTGGTTTTCACACATTTATGTTGCCAGTCGATGCCATGGAAACAAAACCAGGCCTTTGGCTGGAAATACTGAATACTTTTACAACCGTAGTAGGCCTGTGACCTTTCCATTGCTCATCATCTTTCACAAGGTGACTCTCCACCCACTCATTTGGACTCAGTTCATGGGTGTGGACATTGACTGAGTCTATGAAGGTGTGTACTGTCCCTTTAAGAGACTTATGACGGGGCTGGAGAGATGGCTCAGAGGGTAAGAGCACTGGCTGCTCTTCCAGAGGTCCTGAGTTCAATTCCCAGCAACCACATTGTGGCTCACAACCATCTATAATGGGATCTGGTGCCCTTTTCTGACAGGCAGGCATACATGCAGACAGAAGACTGTATATACACTAAATAAATGAATTTAAAAAGGGAGACTGATGACATGGGCTTGATGGTTGTTGATAACCTTCAAAAAGACCCACAGCACCCGCCTATGCCTTAGCCGTTGGTGGGGACCCAGGTCACTTACCTAGCTGCCACTCAGGGGAGCACATGGTCTGCATCATCCAGATGGGCAGTGTGGGCTCTAGTATGGCGACTCCCATGTTGGCCAGGCAAATGGAACCTGAGAGACAGCTCTATGAGCCAGTGTGGCTGCCTAAAGCCTGACTCTTCCCACAGAGAGGAAGGTCATGCTCAGCTCACCTGCTGCTACCAGGATGTAAGGGTCTTTGAGAAGTGTCAGAAGTGGAGTTCCCATGGTGTTCTGAGAAAACAAATAACGTGAACCTTCCATTTCTACAGACTTTACAACCTGTTTTCACAAGATCTAAGATAGTACCTTAGATATCATTGGTTCCTTTACTATAAAAACCAAGAAACTTAGGTCTAAGGAAAGGATGTGCCCTGTCTGGTACCACAGCTAGGGACAGGGTCCATCTTGTGTACAAGTCCTGAGGCAATCAGCAGCATACCATGTATTGGACATATTTCCTACCTCCAGTGGATGGAAACAAGGCCAGGGTTGTCAGGAAGTGTCCAGGGCCTTTCCACTGATCTCTCTGGAAACCTTGTTGGACCCACAGGCAACATTTGACAACAGGCAGAGAACTTAACTTCAAGGTGACTGTGGAAGTGCCACAGAAGAAAGCTCCTCAAGTCCAGGTTCCCGCTTTGACCCATTCTGAGCTACACTGTGTAGTTGGGGAGCTTGAACACGGATGCTATCATGCTGGTCCTAATGACTGGACTTGATTGCCTCTCTCTCGTGTCATTACCCTTATACCAGCTACACCTGGACACCCACCTTCCTTTTGTTACCTTTACCCAAATTACCATCCTTCCCATCTCCCTAGTTCTGCATCTTACCTGTTCTTCAAGATCAAGTTCAAATCCCACCTTCCCCCAGTGTGCCTTGACTCAGTAGTTGGAAGTAAAGAGTATTTCCTAATCTCTAGTGTGCGTTCTACTCTATCCCATATGACATTTAATAGTCTGGATACAGTAACCACATACGATGCACATACAACAATGGATAAATACAGAGGTGCCCAAGCAAAAATTATAATATTCTTACCCCATATACAAATCAAAGTAAAGAAGTGGATATAAACAGTAAGCATAAACACAAAGAAGTAAGCAAGCATCACAGTTAAAGATATGTAACAATTACTGCCAGAGCTGGGGTTTGTATAGCTCAGTGGTGGAATGCTCGCCTGTGCTGGGCATGGCCCTGTGTTTAATCCCTACTACAGCACTGCCACAGATGGGGAGGTAGAGAGGGAGAGAGAGAGAGAGAGAAAGAGAGAGAGAGACAGAGACAGAGAGAGAGACAGACAGAGATAGACGCAGACACAGAGAGACAGAGACAAATGGAAAAGAAAACATTGCTTACAACATTATAAAATGCATGGTCATGAGGTTATTAATTGAAGTACTTGCTCTTCATATCTAGAATCTTCTCCATTTCAGAAACATCTGATCCTTCTCAACTTCTGCTGCTACAATCCCTTCTCCTTTGACTTCAGACAATTCACCTATGCGAGGGGACCTGACCCAGGAACAGCAGACACATCCATTCCTTCTCCACTGGCACCACTGCTGTCACACAAACAATGCTCGCACACCGGCACCTTCAGTGCTCACACTCTGGGCACCTCCTTGCTCAATGTCCCACCCATACCCTCCTAATACAGCTTGATGTAGACTTCTCAGGACCATCTTCAGCTTGAAGTCAGACAAACACAAACACTGGCACTTCTTAACTATAACCGAATAATGCTCAACCGGAGATGCTCTTGCTTGTCTGGAGGTCCCTGTCACCTTTGTGTTTTCATAGAAAACACTTCATTCTTTCTACAGCCTCACTTCTATCTTTGTTCAATACCGAGCCAGACTCCTTTGCTAACCTAAGTGTAGGCCTGCCTGGAATCCAAAACCGGGGTTCATGTTTCCTGACTTCCCTTTCTCCTGTGCTCAGCCGTGCTATTTATCCCAAAGCAATGGAGTTTCGTGCCCACTTACCTCAGAAGACACTTTGGAAGGCCATAGGATGCAAAGCTGGAGAGCTGAGAAAAAAGGGAGGCGGAGGGACAGTTCTGTTTATTCACTGATTACCCAGGGCTCTACTGATCGCCACGCAGCCACCACCTTAACTGCCTCAGTTTCTTCCTTTTTTTCCCAGAATGGGGCAGTCCTTGACCCATCTAAACATGTCAAGATAGACAGCACGGCATAGAGCATTTCCAACCCGAACTCTCTGTCTGGAGGCTCCAGCATTGACCTACCTCCATCCAGAAGTGCCAGGAAGGCCAAGACAAGGAATGGCGAGGACTTGCCCACGAATTCGTACATCACACTCCCGAAAGGAGCTCCCACTGAAAGGGAAGGCAATACAGACACCTGCAGTGTGACTCTTCCCCATCACCCACTCAGCTTTACTGAAGGCCTTGGGGCTGTAAGCTCCCCTGAGGCTGGGGTGCAGAGGTGGAGAGGATTCAGACCTGTCCTCAAGGAGGTCCTTTCTAGTAAATGAAATTTAGCAGGGCAGGGGTGGGAGAGGGAATAGGACATATAATTGAAATGTGGCAAAACGCTCAAAAACAGTAAATTGTCTGTGTACAAAACACTGTGTAAGTCTAATAGAATGAGTCAGAATGGCAGGATGATGGTCAACACTTTGCCAAGTCTATTACACCTGGGGCCATGTGTAGGAACAACACTGAAGGTTCCGAATGCAGGCACTCATGGGAGTAAAAGCTGATGTTAATGCAACATGAGTATTTTGAGGAGAAACGTGAAGATGGCTGAGGTAACATTAATCAAGGGCTTCAGGTATCTGGATGAGGTTATTGAGAAACATGGTACTTTTTAGCAGAGAAGAAACACCGCCAGGTGTAGGCTCCAAAAGATTCTTCTGGATTCTTCTTTCCTTCTATGAAGGAAAGAGGGGGTGCAGAAGAGAACTTGTAGGAGGTTAGTGCCATGTCCAAACCAAGAAAGAGGGAGCAGCTGACGTTGAAGGAGCTCCATGGGATGTAGCATGCTGATTCTTCTAAAACTGACTGTGATAAAGGAGTCTACTGTGACCCAAATCCAAGGCTGGGTATCCATATGGCCACTAACAAACAACAGGGCTTTCTCCCCTCCGTTCTGTACCATGGTGGCTGGCAGGGCCTAGGCCAGGGACGAATGAGACTTAGGCCTTCCCCTCGGCAAGTCTGTAAACTCCCCGAGGGCAGAACACGGTCTGAAGTCTTTAACCTCTATGCCATCTGTGCCAGCATTGTGCCTGGCATGGAGAGAATGCAAATGAAGCAGCTTGTTGAGTTAGTCAATGTGAAGTCTAAACATCGAGGAAAACATAAATACGTTGTTTGGAGCTGGGACTTCTGAGTACAGAACATCTGTGTCCTTATCCTGGCCCTGGAATTACTTTGGATAACTCCTTAATCTTTATAATTCTCATCTCTAGCCTGGGGACAGCCACTCATCCTTCGCAAGTTGGCCGTGAGGATTGAAAGCCATTACTTCTATGAAATCAGCAGAGACTCTGGCAAATCCCAGCTCTGCTGTGGAAAGCACCAGCTGTGCATGGGAGCAGAAGTGAGGGAGGCAGTGCCCAGCGATGTGGGGACGTTCACTCCTGTGGACAGACTGGCCTTCACGACCTCCCCAGGGCCTCAGGCGTTTCACAGCTTCTCAAGGAGAAAGAAATGCCACCTTCCCCCAGTGATGTATCTGAAGGACTCAACACAAGTGGGCCAGGAAGGCAAGGAAAATACTTACAGGGAAGTACCTGCCTCCTGGAGCCATCTTTGTAGAGTCTGCAACGCCCCCATCTCCTGAATGCAGACCTCTGTCTAGGTGCTACTTACCCAGAAGCCCCAAGGCCAGGCCCCCCAAAGCAATCCCCATGGCTCTCCCCCTCTCGTGGTTGTCAGTGTAGACACTGGCCAGCATCCCAAGTCCTGCACAGAAAATGACAGCTGAAGTTGGCGTGTGGGAGGTTGCTGATTGCTTCTTAGAATCCTTGGTCCCAGTCCTATAACATCTTGAGTGATCGTCTCTGCCGGGTATTTCATTTGAGGGCTATAAAACATAGCTCGCAGTATATAGCAAATACTGCCTTCTACAGTTGCACCTCCCTCTTTCCCTGCACGCAACTTATTATTTTGGTGCTGATATTATTAATATTGTTAAAAGTAAAAAAAACCTAAGAGTAAGGCTAATATAATAATGCTATTGTCTAATTATTTCATGTTTCATAGTATTTTGCCATTTCCTAATATATTTCCCTGCATGAGGAGGTCACAGACCATGCCAGGAAAGGAAGACACATGAGTGGACTATTGTATTCAGTGGTGCTCAAGTAGGAACATGAAAATTCTAGGCACCTGGGAGAAAGAACAGGCTGGCAATATCTAGTAACTGTGCCATCGGGCCATTCAGTTGTGTGAGAGGCAAACACAGCAGCCTCATGAGATGCTGAGACATCTTCACTCAAGCAATACTATGAAAAAACTACGATGACATTACTGAAATAACAACAGTTCCTATTAAATAAAAGCAATGCAAAGACAAGGCCATGAAGTGGGAGTGGATACAAAGCCTGACCTCAGGCTTAATCTGACTTAAGCTAGCTGTGCATGCATAACATCTGACCCTAACCCAGGCCAGGGATCTATAGGCCCCTCCCACAAGTCCACAATCACTTTATTCCTGAATCACAATTGCTCCCTCCCTGCATGGCATTTTCCTTAATTTTCTCTTATAAAATTTATGTAGTACCTAAAGTAGTTAATAGGTGTGTGTGTGTGTGTGTGTGTGTGTGTGTGTGTGTGTGTGTGTGTGTGTGTGTTTTGCAGCATTACCTGCAACAGATGAAAATGAAGATCCGATGCCTTGAAGGGTTCGGGCCACAAACAGCAGGGCATAGGTGCCGGAGAAAGCAAACACTGGAAAAGAGAGGAGTCAGAATGATCCAGGGTGGCATGAGGAGAAACATTTTCCTCAATGGCGTAGCCACTAGTATGGTGCTTGTGCTCCTGTAAATAGTCCCTCACCCATGCTTCTATAAGTAATCCTAATTAAACTTGTTGGGTCACCAAAAAAAAAAAAAATCATGAAAGTAGAAGGGGGCTCATTGGGAAGAGGAAGATTATCAGTGAGAGTGAGGGGAGATGAAGAGGGTAATGGGGAAGGGGTGAACATGATCAAAAGTACACACTATAATGCATGAAATAATCATAACAAAAATCCATTATTCGATATTAGGTTAATTAGGCTATCACAGTTAGATTTGGCAACCAGCTTGAGATAGCCCAGAGTCATCTGGGAAGCAGTTGAGGAATTATCTAGGTCAGATTGGCCGGTGGCCACGTCTGTGAGCATCTTCTTAGTTGCCAATTGATACAGGAGTGACCAGCCCAAGATGGCCAGTGCCATTCCTAGACAGGTGGTCCTGGATTGTATAAGAAAGGTAGCTAAGCAAGCAATTAGAAGCAAGATAGTAAGTGTCTGTCTTTAATGATCTCTGCATCAGTTTCTCCCTCTGGGTTCCAGCCTTGGCTTTCCCCAAGCATGAACTATACTCTGTAAGCCAAATAAACCCTTTTTATCACCAAATTGTTTTTGGTAACGATATTTTATCACAACATCAAAAGCCAAAGCAGGACATTAACAAAATAACATTTTTTTAAAAAGAATGGTAAAGGTGCTTGCTACCAAGACTGCAACTTGAAGTTGATCCCTGGAACCCACATGGAAGGATAGAACCAAGTTTTACAAGTTGTCCTTTGACCTTAATACACTCGGTAGCACTCATATGCATGTATAATAAATAAATAACATACTAAACAAATATCAAATATTTCGTAGAAAAAAAGAATTATCAAGCTGTCTCAGATTCCATAGAGATGAGTCACTATTACATAGATCTTAAGTATGCATGGTGAGATGAGACTCCTGTTTCACAGAATTAACATATTTAAACATAAAAGAAAGAAGAAAGCATGGTGTTTGCCTTTTGTTCTTGAAGTTAACTACTTAATTATTCAAATCTTCCATTAGGACTGATTTTGAATTGATGAAGAAGCTGAGAAGCCACAGATGCATAAATCAAATCAGTACAGAGTGGAGGGAAGGCGGGGTCTCTGTACTTCCTCCTGAGAGTCTGATATTCTACTCACTGAAATTGGAAACTGGTACCTAGCCCTCCTCCTGGATCCTGCATTACATCACACGGGCCCCTTGCCATTGCTGGGCCCTCCTGGGCCATCTGTTGTGTGCACCTCAAAGGCCACAGACATTGGGTAGAAGACATCTCACATTCTATCTGCCCTTTCCCCTTGGTGGGAGATGCCTCTGCCAAATCAAATTGGGATTTACTAAATGGTACTGAGAGTGCCACTCTGCTGGACGGGTAGCAGATGCGGAAGAGAAAGAGCCCTTGAAGACGGACCAGCTACTGGAGCCTAACACAATGAAACTGAGAGGCAAACTGGAGAGTGCTGTCTCAAAGTAAATTACAGGTTATAGAAGCTGTGTGGATAGTCCCAGACATCACTCATCCTTGACTCCCAAATAATATCTTCCGAGAAAAAAATCCTTCCCTAGGTGCTTCATTCAGACAAACTCTAATCCTCCTGACCACTTATTATAGGTGTCTTCGGTTGTGTTTTATGATCTTCAGTTACAGCCCAACATGACCACACCCAACCACTCAGGGTCTCCCAAAAGCATAGTTTCTCGGTCCTTCTTTTTTTTTTTTTTTTGGTTTCCAATACCCATTCTCAGACGTTCTAATATCTAGTATGCCCAAACCCACTATTTTTTATGTCCTTAAAGAATAAAGTAGCCAATTTGTCTTCTGTTACCCAGGACTTTTTTAGTTCCAGAACTGAAAGTCACATTGTAGAAAACCTCAACACCAGGAAAATCAGGATAGTTAGTCACACTATTGAGAAAAAACAATCATTTTTGTTTTTGTTTTTGTGTTTTGTTTTGTTTTTTGAGATGTGATTTCTCTCTGTAACAGCCCTGGGTGTCCTGTAACTCGATTTGTGATCAGACTAGCTTCAAACTCACAGCTTCTGCCTCCAGAGTGCTGGGATTAAAAGTATGTGCCACCAGCACCTGGCTCCTTTCCATTTTTCTAAATTTATATAGGCCATTATTTGTCTCCAAGTTACATCAAGAAGTCCCAGGGTGGGGCTTTGAGAGGAGTTATAAGCACCAGCAGCTTCTTAGTAACTTTGTTTTTTGTTTGTTTGTTTGGTTGGTTTGGTTTGGTTTGGTTTTTTTGAGACAGGGTCTCATGTCGCCTGGAATGGTCTTGAACTCACAATAGCCAAGGATGACTCTGACCTTCTAGCTCCCAGGTGCTAGGAATAACAGGCCCGTGCCAGCATGCTCAGTTCTTACTTGTTATTTAAACCCAAGTAAGGCTTACATAGGCTATCCTAACAGCCAAATATGTGTTCTTTTGTATAAAATTGGGTTAACAACACTAGTGACCTCATGTAAACCATAATTGTTATTTAACACATAAGTTAGGTAAACAGAAAAGAGTTGAACCTACTACTTCTTGGCAGAAGAGCAGGCAAAGATTTTGTGCTAAATTGCTTGGGTCACGTATACACTTTGTGGTCTTATTTTGCAAAAATGGTCATGATTCCCAAGGCAACCACCACACTCTCCTCTAGACACTTAGAACATATTTTATTCTTTATATGTGTTCCAGACAAAATATGAATGAGTTTCCAAATCACATTGGATGACTGTGTTCCTTCCTTTGCTCTCTAACACAGGCTGAATCTATGGAAAACTAGCGAACACTGCTAACGAACTTCTCATTCTCTTTGCTGGTGAGCAAATTCTGTCCTGGCCACTTCACGCTTGTCACGCTCCCATCTTCCTCTGAACCCAGCCAGCCCCTCTACCCTCGTAAGTCTCTTGCCTTCCTTGACTGGTTTTTGTTTTGTTTAGTGTCCCACAGAGTTTGATGAGGGCCTTCTCTGCCCCGAGTTTAGAACTGAGCAGCAGAGCCAGGTGACCTCATTTTCTCTCATTCTGTTATAATTACCCAAGAGTATTTCCAGTCCTTAGCAAAAACACCCTATTTCGAGCTCTCGCTCTTCAGCCTTCTTTCCATCTCTAAGTGCAACTAACTCTCGTCAAACTTTGGATTGGGTCACTTCTTTCTCTGGGAGGAAGAGAAGCTGAGAAGGGGGAATGAAGGGGGAATGTGATAGAAAACTAAGAAAACATCAAGAGGGAGAAGCCGCACAATTTGGAGCAAGGGATTAGCAGAGGCAGTGGGAACCGAAGGTAGGACTACAGGTGCCGTCCAGGCAGCAAGCCCCGGAAAGCGGATGTCTCGCCCCAGAGCTTCCGCCCTTCCGATCTCAGGCCACACATCGGGCTCATTCGTCACTCGTTTGATTCCACTTCCATGTCATTGGAAACATAAAGCGATACTGGACGGGCTTTGTCATTGACTTTTCTGTTTCTTTAGCAAATTTACTTCCTGGGGTGTTATTACCTTTAGTTGGGAAACAGTAAGATTTGCGAACTTTTCTGGTTATTAAGATACAACATTCTTTTATTGTTGTTGTTGTTAGTCACACTTACCATAGCATACCAAAATAATACCTTTACCATGACACACTAAAATAATAGCTTCTTTTTAAAAGATGGAAGGCTTGGGGGAGGGCCTAGGCCCTGCCCTGAACGAAATGACAGACTCTGGAGGTCCCCCACGGAGGGCATCACCCTCCCTGGGGAACGGAGTAAAGATTGGGTGGGGAGTTGGGGGGATGGGGGAGGAGGGAAGGGAGAGGGAGCTGGGATTGACATGTGAAGCAAGTTTGTTTCTAATTGAATTTTAAAAAATCAAAAACAAAGATGGGAGGCTTGTAGTAAGCTTATTCAAGAGATTAGTTACACACACACACACAAACACACACACATATATCCATAGTGTGTACATTCAAACATCTCTCATGATTTTCATTGAAGTAAATTAAGAATCTGTTTTCCTGTAGAAGAGGAGAATGATTCCAATTAGAGGAGGCAGTTACTAAGACTATCTCAGCCCCATTCAAATGACTACAAAACTTTTCATCAATGTCCCAGTTGACTTGTTCAGATGTCTTATTTTCTTCTGGGTGACTCAGTCCTGCTCCTTTACACTACACATATATGATGGAATCAAATATGCTTAATAAAGGGAAGCAAATGACTTACTTAGCGTGGAGAGAAACATGATCATAAAGCCAACAAACATAGGGATGTGATAGCCAATCCTAAAACAGAAGAGAACAGAGAAAGACAGCCTTGTAGCAGCCGTTCATATACTTGAACATTGCTTTGTTTTGTTTTTATCATCTCAGTAGGAACAGAGATAGGGTTAATCTTGGACATGTTTTTCATATGAACAAACATGTAATCTACCCATAAACAAGGCCCAAATTATCCTTTCCAGAAAAGGTATCTCTCAAAAGCTCAGGATCATCCTAGATGAGATTTCTAGGAAGCCAGAGCATCAAACTGCATTCAGACTGTCTTATTCCCTCCTCCATCCCCCAGCTATTCCAGTATTCAATATTCACATCAGTAAGAAAATGTGACACCTATAACATTTCACCAATAACCTGTTAGCCTTGGGATAAGACACTTCCAAACTGCTGGATCCCCTCAGGGCCAGAGCATTTTTTTTCTCTTATAATAAATCATCAGCTCTCAACCCATGGGTCATGACCCAATTGAATATGGAATGACCCTTTCACAGGGGTCACATATCAGATATCCTGCACATTAGATACTCACATTACAACTCATAACAGAAGCAAAACTGCAGTTATGAAGTAGCAACGAAATAATTTTATGGTTGGGGGTCAAGCACAACAAGAGGAACTGTATTAAAGGGTTACAGCATTAGGAAGGCTGAGAACCATTGATCTATATGAAACCTGGACCTCTGTACTAAGTCCAAGTCTGTACTGTGTGAATGAGACACTGTAGCATTTGAATAAGAATGACACCCATAGGGCATTTGAACACTTAGTCACCAGGGAGTGCCACTTTGAAAGGATTAGAAGGATTAAAGGGTGTAGCCTTGTTGGAGCAAGTGTTTCACTGGGAGTAGTATTTCAAAAGTTCATGCCAACTCCAGAATGTCTCTCGCACTCTCTCTCTGCTTATGGATCCTGATGTATCTCTCAGCTACTACTCCAGTACCTACCAGCATGCCACCCTGCATGATGATAATAGACTCAACTTCTGAAACTGTGAGCAAGATCTGAATTTAAACACTTTCTCTTTACAATAGTTGCTTGGTCGTGGTGTCTCTTCATAGCAATAGAGCAGTGACTTAAGACAGACACTGTAGCTACTGAGTTACCTGTTGGTAAGAGGTCCTACAAATGGGTTGACCAGAAGTTGCATCAAAGCCTTTGAAGCAAATAGAACCCCAACCCGGACGTTTTCTTCTTCCAAGAACTCTATCCCTTGCAAGCAGTTGTTTTTGGGTGCTGAGCCAGCTTCAGTGACTGGAGGAGGGATGGTGCCATTTGTCCATGCTACCTGGAAGGGTACATGCTCTTCTACAGTCGTGGTGGTGTTGTCAAAGAAGGAGAATATGGTAGAGACGGCAGGAGAGATGAGAGCTTGCTGCGAGCTTACAGAAGGACCCCTATGCAAAGAAGAGTTGACGTCTCTGAACTCTGTCGCGTACAGGAAGGTGGGCACAATGGGCACTGAAAATCAATGAGGACATGTGAGGAAACTCAAGGACAGAGATCCTTTTACCACTGCTAAGTTCAAAGGCATTACTGTGAGGTCCAGTTTTATGTAGAAAGAAGACTCCTAAGTAACATCATTTAAAGCCTACTAAAGATCATGCATGCTCAAATCATCCTATTAGCTAAAGGACCAAATTCTAGCTATCATATAGTTAAACTTTATGGATTTGTGGCACCCTTACTGGTTAGTTCACCTACTTGTAAACGATCATATATAGCCTGAGAGCCAATACTTGATGATCGTCTATAATGATTTTTCACAGATTGGTGCAAAATAGAAAAAAAAATAGCCACCCAATACATACATCCCAGCTGAAGTAGAACACCATTGGTTCTGCTTCTTTGTAGCAGCTCCCACGTGACCAGAGGGCTGGAGATGCTAAGGACCCAAGCAGTATGGTATGAGAAGCTCTGGCTCTGTGGCAGTCCACAGGTATTGAATTCCAGTCCCAGCACTTGCTACTGGGCAACTTGGACATGTCATTAACATCTTTAAGCCTTTTTGTAAAAGAGACAGAACCTCCCAGAATACATAATGCCAAGATTTAATAATTTCTGTGGTGGAGTGGAGAGTACTTGTAAGAATTTTATTAATATAATTACTAGAACCAAAAGAAATGAGTATTGACTGTATTGGATTATATACTCATCACAAGATGATTCCTTTTTTTGTTTTGTTTTGTTTTTCGAGACATGGTATCTCTGTATTGCTTTGGACGATTCCTGGAATTTGCTCTGTAGACCAAGTTCTGGGGTTAAAAGCGTGTGCCACCAATGCCCGGCAAGATGATTCTTATTTAAAGCACATATTTCACCCATATTTCACATGCTAGTCCTTAGTCACACACTTCTGTAATATCATGCAAAAATTAGTGAATGTCAGCCAGAAAATGCAGGACTGTGAGACAATGAATTGCAAACAAGACCAGGCTTTTTAAGGACTTGGATGTCCTATGTTTGTAAAGGAAAGGGTGGAAAAGCATTCCCAGAAAACCTTGCTCACTGCCCCAGGTGTCTCCAGAGTCATCAGTAACCATGGGAAGACATACAAGTGAGGAAGCGACATTCTGGCTTAGGTCTTCTTTTACTGCCAGGCGCCTCTGAACCTGTATTTGTTTGGACCACTGCAATCATTTGTGTGAAGTCTGACAGCCTTGGACCCTGCTGCTTACACTCCCCTCCAACCGTCAGCAACCTCCCTGTCTTTTCCATATGAAAATCATAGCAAGATTGTTCATTGATGAGATCAAGTAGGGTACATGCTGCCTGTTGTGACCCAAAGCAGATACACCCTCAGCACAAAATGGCCCAGACGTACCCACCACAGTGAGCAGCATGTTGTCCAGGAGCAGAGCCACAAACACTACCACCAGCACCAGCTGCCGGGACTCTCTCCCTTCCTTCAGCAACCGCCGAGGAGCACCCAGAAAGACCTGGAACATGGCAGGACTGCAGGGGGCTGGGCTGGGTAGGGAGTGGGAGAACAAGGATCTTCTCCGGATGCTTAGGAAAGTCTCTTGAGAGATGTGGGTCTTCTGTCACCTTTGTAGAAGAAGAGGAAGTCTGCCTGGTCCAGTAAAGTTCACTGTTCAAATCAAAAGTGTGAAGGGTTGCATGTAGCAAAAGAGTTTGATTTTTCCATGCCTGTTTGTTCATTTCTTACATAATCCCAATAATTCCATATTTCCCACAACACCTTGCAGGAACTGCTTGCCAGGGATTTATGTCTGAAATTGCACACACACTGCATTGAACAGCCTCCATAGATGACCAAATGACAGACATCAACTTTCATGTGAGTGGTGTAGGCACCACCTGAGCCATTACATTCTCTTTTCCACCACTTTTTAAATCGTTTTAAGGGCTCTTTCATGAGTCAGGCATGGCGGTGCACACCTGTAATCCCAGCACTTAGGAGGTGAAGCCAGGAGGATCATAAGGCTGAGGCCAGCCTGGACCACATAGAGATCCAGGTCACAGCTACACAGCCTCAAAAATAACATAAATACAAATAGAAAAGCAACTTTATGACTATGCAGGAAAAAGTTTTATGCTTATCACTACTCAAAAATTATGGAGTAAGAGATTATATGTAGCCTGAAAAATTATGTGTCACCCAGACTGTTTGTCCATTGGCAAGCGTTAACCAGAAACAAAACAGTTTAAAAAAAAAAAAGACTCAGGAGTGGGGATATTTGTCCTGTGTCACACAATTGGTATCAAACTGAGATAAAATCCCAAGTGTCTTAATTTGCGTTTTTGCGCTCTACCTTTTTTTGTGGCTGTACTTTGGAAGTACTCATATTTTTGTATTTAAGCTAGAGGACCCTGTTCAGAAGGGTGTGTTGATGTGCAAATAAGGTACTTTCACAATGAGTTCCCTAAGTGGAGTTCTGTAGCAGTAGTTTCCTATTTAGGAGCCTGTATCATATGTTACCATCATATGTTCCTTGTCTAACCTCAGGCAATTGAAATTTCTAAGATGATCCCATTTGTTTTTCATGAGGTTTCTGTTAGAGTGCAAACAATACTAATAATGTAACACTTGGAAATGGACAACTGTCATAAAATGTATGATACGTAGAAGATGTTACATTCATAGCTTGACATTTGTACCTAAAAAGAGGGTATGCTTGCTTATTTTTAAAAGACTAAAAAGATGGTTACTTATCCTCAGTGGTTTTACTCTTTTGCTTGCTTATCATTTTAAAATATCCTATAGTGAGCCAGTTTCATAAAACAAGCAGTAAATAATTTTGAATGTTATCTTTGGAATTAAATGTTAGCCTCAAATAGTAAATTACCCCGGGCACTGAGCTGGTGTCTCTAAGCCCCAGGCTAGAAGAATATCCTCCACACTGCAGTTCAAGGAGCAAGCTCCCAAGTGAAACAAATTTCCAGATCATGTTGAACCGGGAACCACATACAGTGACCTGGGAGGCGTCATGCTTTTGTATAGTAAGAAATTTTGAACTACAATCTTACTTAAGACACATAGAAATGAAAATAAGGAAAGAGCAAAAGAAAACAACAAAAATAAAGTTGTTAAACAGAGTAAAATAAATAGGGAGAGATTAAACATGCAATAAAACAACAACAAAAACAAACAAGAAATCCTTCAGTAGCAAACTTAACAGTCAAAATCCTCTAATAAAAAACAGAAATTTTTTATCCCAGGTATACAAATGGACTTTGGATTCCCATCCAACAATGAGAGATGCACTCTCACCCTGAACTCTTGGGGGGAGGGTCTAGGCCCTGCCCTGGATGAAATGACAGACTATGGGCACCCCCATGGAGGGCCTCACCCTCCCTGGGGAAATGAGGGGATATTGGGGGGGTTGGTGGGAGGGCACGGGAGGAGGGGAGGAAAATGGAGAGGTACCTGGAATTGACATGTGAAGCAACCTTGTTTCGAATTTAAATTTAAATATATATATGTATATATATATATATATATAAAGAAACAGAAATTTTATGGAAGTATTAAGCTTGTCTAAAAAGGAAAAAAAAAGTCTTACCTTACAGTTCATCTTGATGTGAGGCAGTCAGAGAGAAATTGGAAGCTATTGGCAAGACAGCTGTGACTCTGTACTCCGCCAGTGGATGAGCTGACAGATTTATTGCTGCTTGTTATCTGAGGGTACTCTGTGTATGTGTGTGTACTCGAGCGCTTTGTCCACAAAGACTTAATTGGAAACCTCCAACAGGCTTCATTTAGACCCTGAGCTCCCTGCGTCAAAAGCAGGCAGGGCTGGGGCTAGAGAGGACGGAGGAGGTGGATCTCTTCCTAAGCAAAGAGGCTCTGGGCTGTGCTGGTTTTCATCTATCAGGCCACTCATTTAACTCTTGCCTGGATCTCAATACCAACCGGAATGCAAGCTAGAACCAGGGTGCATCTCCTGTCTTTGCTACTTAAAGACTCCTCCTGGGTTCCAATTCTTCCCCTAAAAGTAATAAATCTTGTAACATTTATGTGAAGAAAAATTATGTGGTTACTGTTCTTTAGTCATTAAAGCTAACATCTGGGGCTGGGGAGATGACTTAATAAAGGGTTTGCCATACATGTATGAAGACCTGAGTTTGATTCCCAGCACACATTTGCTATTATACAACTCTGGAGGTCCACACAGCTCTGCCTGGGTTACAGTGAAGATATCAGCAAGGCTTTGTTCCTTCTGGAGGCTCTGGGGACAATGTAATTTTTTCAGCTCCTAAAGGCCGCCTACAGAACTTGGCTCCTAGCTTCTGCCTTCAAAACCACCAGCACGTGTCTAACTTTCTCCCTCCTTCACTTACAAGAACCTTTGTTATCACTGAGCATGCCCAAATATTTCAAGATTGGCTTCCTGTCCCCAGGACCTTAACATAATCATACCTACAACACCTGTATCGTTTAGCACTCAAGAAACAGTCACAGGTTCATGACCAGGATGTGAGCATCTCTGGGTGCTATCGCCCTGCTATCACAGGGGGCAAAGCACATGGGTCTCCCAACATTGCCCTATTCCTGTGTCTCTAAGGAAAAAAGGGTTGTGGTCAAACGTTGGAGGGATGTATCAGGAAACACATTTTCTAGCTCTGGGCAAAAGGCCAGAATCCAGATGGCCCTCCTGCCACCATGTTCCCTACCGATGCAGAGTGTATGACAATGATGATTTGGGGAACTGAGGGCTTACGAGGGCAGATGTGGCTGAAGAATGGTCATACTTTACATTAGCAGGGATAACAGTAACAATCACAGCTGCTGTTAAATGCCCACTCCATTTTCAGCATATTGCTAATGCACAGCCATATATTATATGGAATATATTCTATTTAAAACCTGCATATACACCGTTTTATTTGTCACTACACTCACCCAGCTGGCTGGTCAACAAGTAGGTCCAGTGAATCCAACTCAAGTCATCAGGCTTAGCAGCAAGAGCCCTTACTACTGAGCCATTCATTTCATGTGTGATGAAATATAAATTTGTGTGTACATTTTCAAGAATGTGTACACTTTTCAAAAGCTAAAAGCAACCCTGATGCCCCCTGATGGATGAGTGGATAAACAAATGTGATAAATACTCACAGTGAAATCTTATCTAGTGTGGATTAATCTTGAGGATCACTCATCACAGGCAAAGCTCTCTATGATGTCATCTATACGAGGTGCCTAGAGGGCTGGAGAGATGGCTCAGAGGTTAAGAGCACTAACTGCTCTTCCAGAGGTCTTGAGTTCAATTCCCAGCAACCACATGGTGGCTGACAACCATCTACAATTCAATCTGGTGTATATGTAATAAATAAATAAATCTTTAAATACATAATTAAAAAAAGAGGTGCCTAGAATGATGGATTTCATAGGAACAGAAGCTGTGTGTTTGCTAGGGTCTGGAGGAAGGGGAAATGGGAAGTTATTCTTCAGTGAGTACAGAGTTTGTTTCACAGGATGAAAAGCTGTTAAAGATTGGCTGGTGGAACCAATGTCACATAGTACTGAATTGTGCATTTTAAAATGGTTAAGATGATCAGTCATATGTCTCTTTTGAAAAAACTAAACCTTTTCAAAAAATGTATGTACATCATGGTCATATAACATATGTCTGAATATATAATATATATTGAGGAACATTTTCATATATTTTTTAACTGAACCTAATCTCAGTTTATAATCACATCACAATCAAATCCATAATCTCAACACTCTGGAAGCTAATGCAAGAGATCTCCATAAGTTCGAAGCTGGACTACACAGTGAGTTCTAAGAGAATCCAGGCTACAGAATGAATCCACGTCTAAAGAACAAACAAGATGGAAACTACATATTCCAACTCATCTCAAACTCACAACCCTCCTGCCTAGTCCTCCCAGTTACATGACTGTGCATCTCAACTCTACATGCCTTCCACATAATAGTGGAAGAAATCTGAAACTAAAGAGCAACCAGAAAAAAGCAAGAGTTCCATCTGGATACAGATGTGCCACTGACCTCTCACTCCTTAAAATTCCTCATTTTTGATCAGGGCAAAGTGGAAATGTGAGGCTCTCCAGCCATGGTTCTGTTCTTTCCAGTTTAAATGGCTGACAATTGGGACCTCAGACAGTTTTTTTCCTATATATACACATAAAAGAATAACTGGAACTGAGGTTTACATGGCCTGCCACAATAGGTGTGGATACTATGACTCGAACCCAAGGGGTATTTTTGTTTCTCATTCCTTCATGTTTCCCCTAGCTGTTCAAATATTTAACAGTCACTTCATAAATCCTCATATTTACCGGACATCAGGGTTGCAGGCCCAGACTGCAGAGGCTTGGTTCCCCAAATACATGGCTTTGGTTCAGAAGTTATGTGCAGGCTTCTGAAAAAGAACAGGGATATTTAGGGGGAGGGACTGTAACTTTCTATGGTCATGGTCATTATGACACTGAAGATCCTATGGGATAGAAATGTGTCCAAAGGGCAAGGAGTCACTATGCTTGAACAAAAATAAGCGCTGGTTTTAGATCCAGAGGAATGAGGCACATGAAAACACCAAAAATCAAAGCTAGGCATGATAGTTTACATTCATAATCTCAGCACTTGGGAAGTTTTAAGGCAGTTCCAGGGGACCCAACAATCTCTTCTGAATTCTGAGGGCACCAGGCATGCACATGGTACATTACACACACACACACACACACACACACACACACCAAATATATATATATGACCCAAATTGACATAAACTGGGGAATTCACATAATCTTTCCATTTCGAGACACCAGTAGCAAATTCCATAATATGTAAGTAGACCAAAGAGCTTCATTCCCAGTCTTCTTAAAGGAAGAGGCAGGAGAGTTTAAAGCTAAAGAAAATCCACACTCCATGCCAGTGAAGTCTAGCTTTCATACCTGAGCCAAGTCCCTTCATCTCAGTCTGGACGTCCTTCAGCTGTGGCAGAAGGGTGCAGGTGTCCTATAACAGTGGAGAACCCCAAAGCAGGCTTCTCTGGTAGGATTTGGATTTGAGGACTCTTCTGGCTGTTGTTTCTCATCGTGACCTCAGTCATGACCTTTACCACTTTGCTGTAGACCTAAGTCTCAAGTACACACTTCTACCCATCTTCTGCCCCCCTTCCCCCGTCACCCACCCTTTCTGTCTTTTACTTGGTGAGGACTTTCCCTTCCCTCCATGGGCTCCCTGCTTCTCAGCATACCGTTTGAAAGATCCTCTGGTACTTCAGGCACTAGATTTGTTTTTTATATTAAATTTTGTATTTATTTATTTATGTGCGCATCTGTAGACATGAAAAGAGGATATGTGCACTGAGCCTGGGTGTGGACCTCCTGGAACTGGAGTTACAGGAGGTTAGGAGGTAACTCTGTTCCTTAAAGACAGGGTCTCTCTCTGAACCGGAAGCTCCTCTTTTCTCAGATAGTCTCCTGTCTTTAGTCTCCTCCAAGTTGGGTGTCTCAGTTGGGGCTTTTATTGTGGTGATGAAACCCCATGACCACAAAGCAAGTTGGGGAAGAAAGGGTTTATTTGGTTTACACTTCCATATTGCTGTTCACCATTGAAGGATAGGAACTCAAATGGGCAGGAACCTGGAGTCAGGAGCTGATGCACAGGCTATGGAGGGGTGCTGTTTACTGGCTTGCTCCTCATGACTAACTCAGTCTGATTTCTCATAGCACCACCCATAATGGGCGGGGTCCTCTCCCACCAATCACTAATTTAAAAATGCCCTACAGGCTTGCCAGCAGCCAGATCTTAGAGGAGGCATTTTCTTAATTGAAGTTCTCTCCTCTAGGATTGAGTTATCTTGTGTCAAGTTACCATAAAACTATCCCAGATACTGGGGTTAGATGTATGCATGGGATGCCTGCATTATTACATGGGCCATAGCATGTGAACCCTGGTCCTCATGGTTGCAAAACACCTTAACCACTGAGACATGTCTTCTGGTCCCAAGTACTAGTATTTTCAATGCCTCCAACTCTTCAGATTGTTGGAACACAGTACATCATGGAAGCATTGTGTGGTAGAGGACATTTTTCTACATCACGCAGTAAAAAAAACTCTGCTAGGCTTCCGTAGTGAGACATGAGGATGTAAATGGCAAGGGTTTTGAAAGACCACCTGCTTTTCAGATGTCTTGTTCATCGTTTAGGTTGTGGATAATTAAACCAGAGCATATAAATAACATGGCTTTAAAGAATGCGTGAGTGCAGATGTGGAGAAAAGCTAAATAAGGTTGGTTGATACCGGATCCCATATACTCTTTGAGGGCATTCCCCCAATGACATAACTTCCTTCTACTAGAACCTACCTCTGGAAGTTCCCCCACCTCCCAATAAAGTCACAGGCTGGCCGCCAAGGTTTTGTCACACAGGTTTTTTGAGAAAATTTGCATAGCAGTAACTACATATTATTGTTTCTTTTCTTTTCTTTCTTTCTTTTTTTTTTTTTTTTGGTTTTCAAGACAGGGTTTTTCTGTATTGTTTTGGAGACTGTCCTAGAACTCGTTCTGTAGACCAGGGTGGCCTCAAACTCACAAAGATCCACCTGCTTCTGCCTCCCGAGTGCTGGGATTAAAGGTGTGTGCCACCAGCACCCGGCTTATATTATTGTTTCTATTAATATTACTGATTTTAACTCATTCTTGACTCTCTAGGCTTCACAGAAGCTGAGCTGAAGTACCAAAGGCCCTGAAAGGGACTCACACATTCCCAGAGCCTCTTTGCTTAAGATGAGAGTGAAGAAATACCAGCTTTCAAGTAGACTTCAGTTCTGCAACCCACATAACCTGGGCTGTGTAGGCAGAATTCTACCTCTAACAGATGAACTCTTAACTTCAGCAAGAGTTCCTTACAAAGTCTGATCCTCATACTATTGGACAAGAGAACTGGTGGACATAGTTGTAACTTTACTGGAGTGGGAAATGGAAGTGTCACTTGAGAACAATGGGCATGTTTTCCCTAAACTCAGTTCTTACCAGACTCATTCTTCGTAAGTCTTAGGGTTTTCATTGCTGCAAAGAGACACCATGACTATGGTAACTCTTATAAGGCAAATATTTAATTGAGGGGGCTCACGTACAGTTTCAGAGGTTCAGTCCATTATCATCATGGCAGGGAACTTGGTGGCATGCAGACAGATGTGGTACTGGACATGTAGCTGAGAGTCCTACATCTTGCAGGCAACAGGAAGTCATCTGGGACACTCGGTGGTACCCTGAGCACAGGAAATTTCAAAGCCTACCCCCATAGCGACACACTTCCTCCAACAAGGCCATACCCACTCCAACAAAGTCACACCTCCTAATAGTGCCACACCCTAGGAGATTATGGGGGCCACTTACATTTAAACTACCACATACACCTTTCAATACTTATTAGGAAATAGGGGGACCTCTTTAACCGTCAACTTGGGTTCTAATTATTCCACTGAGCAACTGTGGGACTGTGAGCAACTATTTTGTTTCTCTGTGCCATTGCTTTCTAACTCGTGGAGATTTTGTGGAAGGTCAATGAGTTAACAGCAAGCACTTAGTGGGCTATGGTGATGCATACCTTTATCGAGGCAGAAGCCTGGTCTACATTATGAGTTCTAGGCCAACCAGGGCTATGTAGTGAGACTATCTCTAACAACAAGCATTTAGAGTGTCTGTATCACAGGTCCCCAGACCTCAGCACAACCAACACCATGATGGAAGTACCATTCAGGCCTTGGTACCCAGCATGTAGTCAACAACACCTGCCAAAATAAGACCAAAGACCATCAAAGTCAGTAATTCTGGAAAGTCGCTAAATGTACTAACCTTGCTTTTTGGCTTCTGTAAATCTGCTTCTGGCTAATTGTTCTTGCTGACTATGGAGTGTCAATCCAGGATGCGGACTTTGTGCTTAAAAGCTCATCCTGAGAAAGGCTCCGGATGGCACTCAGGTCCTGAACACCCAGGGTAGTAGATGGCAGGCTAATAAAGACTTTCTGCTGGCTTGAATCCATGTCCAAATGGTCTTCTCTGGTAGATACCTCACAACACCTGGCACAGAGCGGGCATGCAGTGCTGTGTCCCAAGAACTTAATTATCAGAAAAAACATGAAGACATGGATTCTGCTCTGCATAGCCCCTCTATTTGTGGAGAAATTTTCCAAAAATGAAGTTCCCTAAGTCAGTTCCCCTTTGAAATACATCGTCTATCCTGACCACTTCAGAGCTGTGACTCCTTGCTCACCACAAGACTTCACAGATTGCTCAAGACTTCTGTGAAATACCCAGGACTCTTCTTCCTGGTTACATCTTCTCCACACTCCTTTTGACTGTTTTGTTTTGTGTTTTTGTTTGTTTGATTGTTTTTGCAGTGCTGGGGATAGAATCTAGGGTCTTTTACCTGCTAAGTGAGTGATCTACCACCAAGACCTAGCCCCTCTTCTCCAAACTATAACTGAAAGGCCTACCTCCCCTCTCTTCCTGGCCTTAATCTACCCTATGAGACTCCTTTTTTAACCAGGTGCACAATGTAGCATTTCATTTCATCATGTTTTATGATATCTCTGTGGGATCTTGTCTCCACTATTTAGCCCTGCGTTCTTTAGAAATATTGTTCTACTACAAGTAATGCCATCTTTGCTTTAGAGGTATAGCATGGGCCCACAGACACAGAACTGGTTAAGAGTAAGCCTGACTGACCTGCTCCTTCTAGCTTGATGCAATATATTCATGGCCAGAGCAAAAATGTGTCTTGCAGTTCTCTGGTGTTTTTCTAGGAACCACACTATGTGGAGTTCATTACCAATGTTCATATAATACTCACTTGCTTACAGAAGGCATCATTCAAGTTTTGATTTGATCTTTTGATGCTCTGACTGATGTTGTAGAATAACCTTTTTGTACACGGTGAAGACATGTTGCTCTCGTTGCTTTAATAGAGCTAAGTGGACAATAGCTAGACACAAGCAGGTATAGATGGGAGAGCCAGACAGAGAAAACTCTGGGAAGAAGAAAGGTGGAGTCACCAGATAGATAGAGAAGGAGCAAAATATGCAAGAGGACAGGTAAATGTCATGAGTTGTGTGGCAACACACAAATTGATAAAATGGGCTGATCTGCATTGTAAGAGCTAGTTAATAACAAGCTGAAGCTATCTTATGAGCTTTTATAATTAATGATCAATCTTTGTGTGGTTATTTGGGAGCTGGCTGGTTGGCCAGAATATTCCACCTACAGAGGCATTGAAAGTAAGCTGAGCGGCAGGGCGGTGGTGGCGCACGCCTTTAATCCCAGCACTCGGGAGGCAGAGGCAGGCGGATCTCTGTGAATTCGAGGCCAGGCTGGACCGACAGCCTCCAAAACAATACAGAGAAACCCTGTCTCGA